TCTTACTAACGATGTTTTAATAATGTTCTTATGATGGTTGTTATGTCAATCATATGTTGCTTTATTATTCATGATTTATTATTATTGCTTGATCACACCCCTCTTTGCAGGTTTAAAGGGAATTTGTACTTGAAATCACGCCTAATAAGATAATAATTTAATTTAGGCATATGGCATTAATTCAAGTGATCACTAATAATAGATTTGATTGTGCATTAATAGTCAGCCAACGTAGATAAAACAGGTTTAGGGTTAATTTAATGAATGTATGTTGATCGAAAAACGCGCATGAATATCAAAAGAATCAAGTAGAGGCCTATTAAGGGCGGGTTTGACTTCTCTTAGGTCAAATTTGTACCATCATCCCCGAACATGCAGTCATGGTTCCGGACCACTATGGTGTTAGCAATCTCCGTGATTGTGAATGGGGCGTAACCTTCACACCCGTGGACGGTTTACAAGTTCCTAAAACTTGTTTGCGAATCTTTTATCTCTAGCTTCTTTTCCTTAGGAGCGCCGTCATGCTTAAAAACATGACCCATAGTAGGGCTCAATAAGAGTTTGAAAAATTCCATACAGTTTTTGGCTACTATGCTGGGGAGGATTTGTAGATTGATTCCTAAAGTTATTTTAGCAATTGATTTAGAATGAATGGATGAGACTTAAGAGATTCTAGATATTTATGTGCATAATTTTGATTAACATTGTGGCATAAGCATAAAAAGGTTCGCATTGGAAAGACCATCTGTAATATGTTGAAACATAGGACATACACGTAGGAAAGGCCGGAAATATTTTTCACAACTAGAATCGAAAAGACGCTACGAAAAATCGGGAAAAAACATCGAAAATTGAAACTGCCGCAGACCGTCAGAACCATCGCAGGATGTTAGTGACTAACGCCAGACGACGGCTTCATTGCGCCGCGATGGAGTTGTTGCTGGATGATGGTCCCTTCCGTTTAGTGATACGATCTGGTGATTCTGCGCCAGAATTCTGTCTTCCTGTTTCGCCTGATTTAAGTACTGTCTCGACAATTTTACTTCCTGATAAGTTTTTTCGACTTTTCTAAACCCATATGTGTTTTACATATGGTTTTAGCCCTGGGAATTCACGCTCCTGGCACCCTAATAAACGCTCCATGCAATAATGGGTGCATCCGAGTTTATGAATTTACCAAACCATGGAGTTGAGTTTAACTCATTGGGTCCCGTCCATTGTGCCAACCCTTCTAAGGTAAGGCTTTCGCGCGATGCATCTAGGCTCTTAACCATGGACCCTCTTGGAAACCATAATTCTTGACCTTAGAGAACTAGAGCCATGGTTAGGTTGCAAACTCATTGCATCATGTTGTGACTACTTGACTACTTGTGCATATCTTACTTGTGCATAACTTGTTTGTGATTAAACTAACCTTTGGTTTGATTTGTTTCTTGTATATATGTCTATACAAACTAACGTTTTGTGCTAACCTGATTTTTGTACATATGACTTGTATACACTAACCCAAAGGACTTTTCTTAATTAATTTGGTTAATTTAAATAAACCTAATGAATAAATATGCTTGACCTTGAAGACCTTTAGGCTTAGACCTTCAAAAGATCGTCTGAAAATGAGTCACTGGGATGTTCCAGTATTGGCACATCACCTCAGACTCATGGCACATGACGATGGTCACCATCGCGCCGCATCAGGCTTGACGCGTCGCAATAGAGCCATCTCCATGCGACAGTTCCATTGCCACGCGATGGTTTAGCTGCTTCTTTCCGAGTCTTCGTGTTGAGTCCCACTATCACGATTAAACAGTTTAATCTACGTACATGGTATTTTTCCTGGTCTTGTATGAGTCTAACCACATGTCTAGTCACATGTTCATGACACATGTCTTGTATATATCACTTTCACTCACGAGTCTTTGCACACACTTTGTACATACCTTTTTCCACCATGACCATGTCTTAGGTCCATTTATGAGTTATCTTTTCTGTCATTTGAGTTGAGGGTTCGTCCTATTCCTAGACTTTTCTCCACATCATTCTACAAATACACTCTTTCCCTTTAAATCACTTTCCATCATTACATACCTCACACTTTCCACATTCTTTCCTCTTACATGCTTTCCCCATACATATCATCCACCTCATACATCTATGCATGTTGAATCGAGTTCGAGTCATGTGATTGACAATGAGTTTCCATGGTTCCCTTTTCTAAAGCGTTTGGTCAAGGAAAGAGGGGCGCTTAATTCGAGATAACACCTTCCTACAAGTATTCCTTTTCCAGAACACAGTTCGAAGAAAGGAGAAACCAATGGCAGCTAAATAAGAAGATGTTGACAAACTCCAAAAGACTGTGGATGATCTTGTTCAATTGGTCAAAGGACTCACCACTCGAATGGAGAAAGCCAAAGACCCTGACAAGTATGTACCACCTGAGACAATCAAACGCATTGAACAGACGCTAAGTCAAGCTTCAAATAGTTATAAGTATCTTGATATGAGTACCAAAGGAATCTATTTGGATAAAGAGCTTCTTCCGCACAAGTTCTTAGCCACTGACATTCCTAGGTTCAAGCCCACATATAATCCTTACTTTCACTTGAAGGCTTTTAAGACAATCATGGAAATCAAGGAGATTGATAAGAAAATTTTTCCTTTGCTTTTCTTTCTCTCCTTGGAACTAGTATGTCAACAATGGTTCTTTTCCATAGGTTCTGGGAAAATTGCTACTTGGGACAGTATTACACATGTTTTCATTGATAGATACAAATGTAATATTCTAGTAGAAACTGATCTTAGAGAGCTTGAAATCCTTAAGCAAAAGGAAAATGAGGGCTCCACCGCATAGGTGGAAGGAAACTTCTGCCAAAATGATTGAAGTTCCAAATGAAAAAGAGTCTGTGAGAATGTTCATTAGAAATCTCCAAGAGAAGTATCAAAAGCACTTGAAATACCGAACTTTGAACACTTTCAAGGCCGTCTATGACATAGGCATTGATATTGAAGATGACCTTATGAAATCGAAAAGTGCTAACAATAGTAACAACAGTGGCTGGAAAGGGGAGAAGAACGACACTCCTTCTCCCGAAAACACCTTCTCTAGTAACAATGTTAGCACCTATGATCTTAATGATGTCTTAGCCATAGATAATAAAGGACCAAGAAGGCAACAAAGGAAAGAGTTCACCCCTATTGGGATGAGCTATGACACCGCCTTCGACCGTCTCCATGCCAAGGGGCTCATCACTCCCATTGGACTTATTTAAGATCCGGCGGCTAAAAATAGATCACCCAATTGGAATCCTACGTCCATTGCAAGTACCATCAAGGAAGGGGTCATACTACCGAGAGTTGTTGGAAATTAATGGAGACCATCCAATATTTGATTGCTAATAACAAGCTTCCCGTTCCTCCAGCCGGCAAGAAGATCGAGTGATAATGAGACAAGGCACAAGTCGCTGCATTTTTAGGTATTTCATGATTTTTCTTTTTTATTTTTGATTTTCCCTTTTCCCAATAAGTCTAGCATAGGCATTCCCCTTCATTTTATTTCATGAGTTTGTTTTTATCCTTTCCATTTATAATAAAATGAGCATTTATTTCCTTGCATATGATCATTGCATTGCATTAAAAAAAAAAAAAAAAAAAAAAAAAAAAAAAAAAACCATGCTGAGCTAAGCACAAGGTATCCCAATGATTTTAAGCACCCCTTGTAGCCACATCATATCACCTTCACCCTTTCAATCAAACAAACCTTTTATGATAAACCACTTTGAGCCTCGTCTAACAATTGACCTTTCTTTTTTCAACCCACATCTACCTAAACTTGGGACGAGAGGTGTGCAGCTTACGCCATTTTCAGAGCCAAATAAAAAAGCTTGAGTGTTTTTCCCAAAATTCAGAAGTTAAAAAAAAAAAAAGCAATAAAAGTGTGCTAAAGGGCAAGTGTTCCAATATCTTTGATATGAACACGTCTCATATTGCGTCTCTTATCAAGTGCTCGGCACCGTGCCTGAGAAACATGAATGCTAACTAAGTGATAGACCGCATGATCGGGATTGCCCACACTTATCCGAAGAATATCCAAATACAAATCTCAAATGCAAAAACAACAACAAAAAAAAGAAACAAATTCAGCAGTGAGAAACCTCAAGCATACAAAATACCAAGATTCAAATGCAAGGTTGCACACCTTGGAGTCTTATTTTAGGTCTCGAGCCTTTATCCCTTCTTCTTCAACCTTTAGCCTAACCCCGTTACAACCCTTGAAAGACCTCCTTGAGGTGTACACACACTTGTACGAAGTTCGACTAGAGCTACGTTCGTCCTGATTCATAACGGATATGTAGGCATTGAGGTGCGGTTGTAATAAATATTCATCTCATATTCATGCATGATCATATCAAGGGATCTTCAATGCTCATCCCTAACCATTTAGTGCTAGACTTGGGGGCTTGATCCCTACATCATTAGCTTACTCAGCCTAAGAGTCACCATCATTTGGCTCTTCTCAAAAGATTTTTCCACACCCTTAGACTTTGCAGCCTAACCTTAGTGTCACTCTCACACACATCACAAATGCATAGTCGGATAATCCTTCCCTTAAGAACCCTTTGTCATGAAATCTTAATACAACTTTGAAGCAAACCTTGTCATCTTAGAATCACTCCTTATCATAATTGCATCACAAAGTATGAGGTACCACTAGACGAAAAAGGTAAAAAGGCACCGGTTCAAACCCCCCCTTTGGCACCGGTTTTGAACCGTTGGGGATTTGAGGGATGCCAAATCCAAGAAAATTTGGCACCGGTTCAAAACCGGTGCCAACTAAAGCATTTAGCACCGGTTAACCGGTGCTAACTACCATGGCGAATTTTTATTTTTTTTATTTTCAATACTATTGGCACCGGTTCAAAGCAAGAACCGGTGCAAAAAACCTCACCTTAGGCACCGGTTCTTGCTTTGAACTGGTGCCAAAAGTCTCAAAAAAAAATTTAAAAAAAACTTTTGGCATCGGTTCTGGTCCAAACTGGTGCCAAAATACCCCAAAAAAATAAAAAAAAAATAAAAAATTTTTTTGCATTTTTTTTACTTAAATGTATATATAAACACTAACTATACATAAAGTTACATATTTTCATTAAAAAAGGATGTAATATTACAATTGAGGATCATTGTGTTCACAACAAACCACAAAGACAGACTGGATCCGCACTCTTGCGACCAGGACGGATGGATTTGCATATCCACATGTCCTATTGATGCACCCAATCTGCACTCAGAACATTATCTTCAAATTACCTTGGCATCACACAGCACCCACTTTTGACAGAAATTGAACAACAGGTGCAGGAAACAAAGGTCACCCCTGTAGAAGTAGGTGAACAGTTGATGAAAAGTGAAAATTTCATAGGAGGCATTGAGAATGCTAATGAATTTCATAGCTGAGAAAAAGAAAAGTGAGGATCTCAAAAGCACTCAGCAGAAAGCGGTAGCAGAAGTGGGAAGTAAGGAGTTGGAAGAGGAGATCAAGGAAAGTGTTCAAATACTGAATTAAGAATTATATGTTCCAGATAGTACAACACAATGCTATGACCCCCTAAGAATATGTAATGGGAGTATGGGACTTTCATCTTATAATAATTATCCAGTGTATTAATTTTGAAACTTCTACAGTATATAAGATGTTTAGAGCTTTAAATCTTGGTGTATCTTTTTTTTTTTTTTTTTTTTTAATTAACCTTTTCTATTCATTAATCGTGTATCAACATACTAAACTTATTCCTATACTACATTGCCAAATGAATACAAAATATTAGATTAAGTAACAGAAAGGATCACCAACACAAAAACTCAGTACAGTTAATACATAAAAACATATTATAGCGACTTAAATACCTGATTAATAAATAGGCCACCGTATACATGATCTTGAAAAGGTACATGACAACATAATTTCAATTAATCAATGGCTAATATTAACATAACAGACTCACAGTCAAGAGTGAAATTCAAACTGCCATCTTCATTTCAATTTTCTAGTGAGGATCATAACCCACAAGCTCAAAATCAGTTGCTACAAAAGAATCTATATTCTTCTTCTGAGTGTTGATCTTCAAAACTTGTTAAAATACAAACATTAGATTTCATTTGGAAAGAGAAACACAATAGCCTAAAAAAGAAAAGGTAACTATCCTATTTCAAACCAAAGCTAGCTACATCACTAATATCATGCTTACAGGAAAAGGTTTAGGCAGATTCTGTAATTGTTCTTGCAAAGGCTCAATATGGTTGCGATAAACATGAGTATCTCCAATGACATGGATGAAATCCCCAGGAATAAGATCTGCAATGAAGAAAATTTTGTTAAGCGTATACATCCAAAATCAACTAGCCTGAGCAAAATTGGATAAAAGTAATGCCACATATATTATAAACCACAACTAAACACCATAAATCTAGACCTGATCAAGTATGGCCGGCCCGTTGGCCCGGTCCGACCCGGCCCAGTTTTGGGCAGAAATTTTCGGCCCAAAATCGGGTTGGGCCCGCCCCGAAATTTTTATTTTTTTGGGCGGGTTTGGGAATGCGTTTTTAAACATATTTAGTTGATTTTTTAGGCCCGGCTCGAAAACGGCTCGAAAATCCCGCACGACCTGACCACTTTGGGCGGGTTTGGGCACAAAAAATTCGGCCCGAAGCTTGGCCCGGCCCGAGAAGTGGGCAAATTCTTGTAGCTTCGGCCCGGCCCGGCCTGCCCAATGATCACCTCTACATAAATCTGAGGTAGAGTAGAATCCATGTACCAAGGTAAATTCTGGATGCATTTCCATCCCAAATATGTATGCCTTTCTCTTGCAGAACCTGAAAAAAAAAATGAAAACACTTGTTACACCTTGAATTTCAGTTATCAAACCCCAAAGGTCATTAAAACCAAAATTAGTATAGACACTTGGAGGAAGGAAGATAGTCATTTACTACATACATTAGACTGAATCTTATATGCAAGTGTATATATTCCTCATAACCAGGATAATATGTATTCATAGACGAATAGTACATCATGCTTGAGAAAACTCTTCTGCATTTACTCTGGTGGTTTATCGTGCCTTTCTATTCTATTATCCATTCCAGCTTCTGAAATCTGAATTCCTAAATTGATAAGGGTATGTCAACAGTCCAATGTTGTGAAGTGATATTTTACATTATACTAATTCACTGAAAGGTCTAAAATAGAATTCAAAATTGCCCCTCAATAAAAAGTCTCCATTCAAAGCATCAAAACTCAGAGGTTTGCATCAAGGCAGGCTTGAAAAATCAGCTCATAGCAATAAAACAGACTAAGCAGTTTATGGTAATTTCCACAAAAAAGTAGCATTATGTCTCAAAGGCATCTTCAGCCTCGGGTGAATCTCAGATAAGTATTAGATTAACAACAGGGAAGCAGCAACTTACTTAAAAAACAAAGCAATTTTGAACCAACAAAACAAAATAATGCTCAGAGTTATTATACAATACCTTGGCATTTGTGGAACCACTAATAAACCACAAAAGTTCCTCTACAACACCTCGCCAAAATACTCTCTGTAATTTGAATTGATAAAGATAGTTTTCAGTATACATGGCTTAAGAGTTCGAATAGATTTTTTCCACAAATAATATTCAGTATCCACCATAATTTTTCCAAATCTATATGTATAATCAAATCAACAAGTCATTTAAGGAAAACATAAATTGCTAAAACCTTCAAAAAAAATCATAGAGAGAAGCAATATAAGCTGGAAACTTAGTTATACATTACATGCCTTGGTTGTAAGAAGTGGGAAACTCTTGCGCAAATTGAACCGCACTTGTGGGAAAAAACCATCAAATCAATAACTAAAAACCAAAACAAAAACAAAATAAGAACTCAGTATAAACAAACAGCTTGATGCACCTGGCAACCAAATTTTGATAGGGTCCCCATCCCTATCCTATCATCCTTAAGATTCCCACTCGACAAGACCTCTTGAACTAGCTTAAGGTACAAATGCTCCTGATGTCTATCAAATACCATTTGAGGCAGGAAGGAGAAGTCATGTACCTCAAACTTACTAGATAGTGCCTTGGTAGTATTGATTTGTGTACCAATATCAGTCGCAGTCCTTCTCACACGGACATATGTAACGAAAGAGTGTCGTATATTGTTCTCAACCGAAAGAAAAGACGAATACCAAGGCTGAAACAAAGAATTATCCACAGGGGGCATAAATGTGTCACACTCTATATCGGTCTCAATCTCTGTAATATGTATCGCATCGCAAGCTGGAGCATTAAGTGCCTCCCTACATACAAAAAGCATTAATCCCTTTATGCAAAAGATACATTCCTACTCAAAGTTCATGGAAACACAGTATAAATGCCAACCTCAAGATCTGACCACCGCCAATGACAAACACCCTCTCAATCAAAAGATCATACGGGCGCATTCCCAACAGCTCCAAAGCAGAATTGATTCTTGCACAAGTCACAGCATCTTCCAAACTTCCAACATCATAATCCCGAGAATGAGTGAGAACAACGTTAAGTCTACCGGGCAAAGGCCGATTCTTACGAGGAATACTCTCCCATGTCTTTCTCCCCATTATAACAGCATTCTTTTTTTCAGCATTAGAAGTTTGCAAAGTAATATCATTAAAAAGTTTAAGGTCAGAAGGCAATTTCCCATCTTTCCCAAAACACAATGATCATTTACTTGCAGGTTATTCGACCAAATTACTTTTTCTCCATTGCAGCTCCCACCAATACCAGTCTGATGATGCAAGTAAAATGGGACGATAATTTTTAAATTTCACGAATTTGAATAACCCACAAACAGCAAGACTTTGAATGGAAAGCAGCAGACACTTGAGATTAGTACATTTATCTTATCAAACAAGCTAAGCAATGGTTTGCTTAATTAGATGGTCCCTTACCAGCCATTATGTTAGTTCAAATAAATAGATAAATAAGTGAAATTGACACACACGAAAATGCCATGCACTATACAATAGTTTTTAAACAGAGGCTCTAACTAGACAAATAATATGCATGATGTTCATAACTATCAAGGAACATCCAGGAAATGAGTACAACAACTAAACGCATTCGGAAAGCCAGGAAGAAGTGAAGCTAGAACAAAAAGGAAGTGCCGTAACATTAGCATAACATATCATACGGAGATACGAAGTATAACATTAGGTAAACGACAATTTCAACCACAATTTGACATTCAGACCTATGACCTTGACATAATTCAATAATTCTCAAATCAACGTTAGCAATTAATCTGGATCATAAATCTATAAAAAAGTAATCAAAGCATAAATTGAATTCAACCAGATCAACAATAGCATAACATATCATACGAAGTAAATAAGTAATCAAAGCCGAAATCAAATTCAACCAGATCAATCATTAATAGCAGAACATAAACTGCATTCATTCCCCCTATCCCATTATCACTATTTAATACGGCAATTAAGCCTAACAAACTCAAGCAACAACTAATACAGGGAATCAAAATAACAACCAAATAACAATTATTTTGTTCGAAGGGTGAGTGGCGGCGGGTAGGACCTACTCTCTCCTTCTCCTACTTATTTTGTTCGACAAAAAATAGAAATAAAACCAGAACCCTAAAACTACGAAATTGAAAACCAAATCAACGACAAACCCTAGATTGCGAAGGAATTCAGTAGATTAAGAAGACCACATTACCTAAAAGCTGCTTCAATGGAGGAGAGAAAGCTCAGAATCGGCTTCAATGGAGAATATAGAGCACGAGTTCAATGGAGGCCAGAGATATGGAGAGAGAAGGACGTGCTGCTTTAATGGAGTGAGAATGCTCGTAAACTACGTCAATGGAGAAGGTCGAAAATTCGGGATGGTGGAAGAGAAGGCAAAAACTAGAGGGAAAACAGAAGCTCGATGGAAAAAACGGGGGGAAAGAAAGAAAGAAAGAAAAGCATGAGCCGGTTTTTTTTTTAATAATTTTATAATAAGTTGGCACCGGTTTGAACCGGTGCTAATTAAATGATTGGCACCGGTTTTGGTTGGAACCGGTGTCAACACTGATTTTTTCAATCCTGTCCATTTCTTTTGGCACCGGTTTTCAAGAATCGGTGCTAAAGGGGGGTGCCTATTTCATTTTTTCTACTAGTGTACTTAGCCTCCGAGCCTAAGTTATCCAAGTACTTTCATTGTCGGATCATCAATTGAGATAGTCTAGGATGCTACAATCCTTACACCATAAGATACAACGATTAATACATACACTTGATTCAACATGCATCATTACTCAATTCATCTTTTCATCTCTTTTTCTTTTGGGGAAGTTCAAACTTCGTTTTTCACCAACCCTTTACATTTCATCCTTTTTTTTTGCATCTTTCTTTTTCGAGAGAAAGTTGGTACCCTCCACAAAAATGACGACAAATTTTTGCTTTTCTACATTTTCGAGTCGCACGAGCACCATCACAACATAATGTACACGTGTCATGAACATTGAGTCATGTCGTGTCATCACATCGAGTTGAGTATGCACACGAGTCATGCACATTGAGTCATGTTGTGTCATCACATCGAGTCATGCACATTGAGACATGTCGAGTAACATCACATTGAGTTAAGTCTGCACACACGTGTCAAAACACATCGAGTCGATTTGAGTATATCGAGTCGCACAATGAGTCAAGCAACACTAAATCTTGGGTTAACCTCAAGCAAACTATAAACATGAGCAAAGTCCTATAGTCCAAAATATAGATGCAGGTACACATAGTCCCTCATGGACGAGTAACCTTTACAAGAGATTTGAGGCAATTTGATCGAGCAAAAAATGAACAGAAACAAAACAGCAGCAAAGCCGAATGAGTAGAAAGCGTTTAAAAACGCAGAATTAGACTCCAGCGCAACGCGACGCGTCACCGCACGATAAAACCTGATGTGGCCACGTCAACTTTTGAGAGTCTTGCAGAACGAATTGTTGGACTATGATTATTCACTTGAGCCTCGTGATGAGCAATTGATTTTTCCTTGAGCCTCGTGATGAGCAATTGATGAACAATTTTTTCTTCCTTAAGCCACGTGATGAGCGGTTTACTAAAGATTTTGATTTGATTGATGGTCGGCCCGATTACGATCACCTTTGACTAGAGATCGGCCTGATTACGATATTTGATTGATGATCGACCTGATGACGATCACATTTTGATTGCATATTGATTGAACACATTTGAGCAGTGATCGGCGCGATTACGATCACATTTTAGCAGTGATCGACCCGATTACGATCACATTTGAGCAAAGATCGGCCCGATTATGATCACATTTGAGTTGTGATTAGCCCGATTACAATCACAATTTCCAAAGATGGTTCGATAGGACTCTTCAGGCGAGATATAACCATTAGAGGAAAATTTCTACGGAAATCAATTTGAGCTCGGTAAGATCTTGAAGAGTAAGGTTTTACGATAGTTTTTCCAAAGCGTGAGAAACTATCACTTCCAAGGCGTGAAGACGAGAAATTTTAATTTGAAGACGACTTAAAGCAAAGTGGTCTTCGACAGCGCTCCCTGAGAATGTGGAGGTTGTCACCCAATTTTGGAGACGGCTCAAAGCAAAGTGGTCTTTGACAGCGCTCCCTGAGAATGTGGAGGTTGCCACCCCTTATTTGAGAAGATGGCTCGAAGCGTAGCGGTCTTCGACTACGCTTCCTAAGAATGTGGAAGTTGTCACCCCTGATTTGAGAAGATGGCTCAAAGCGTAGCAATCTTCGACGGCGCTCCTTGAGAATGCGGAGGTCGTCAAACAAAACAAACTTTGATTCAACAAAATGTCACCAGGAGACGTGTGCTCGGCAAACCCAGATACGCGTTTCTTTCCCTTTAACTCCTTTATTTGTAGCATTGATGCTTTTTGTAGGTATAGACGTTGAAAAGGATTTTTTAGGATTGCAGAACGTTCTGAATCATTCTCTGTCCCTATTGATCTACTTTCAATTTTGTTTTCGAAACTTATGTTTCTCCAAACTCAGTCAAATTGGGGGCTTCTGTTGACACATGATTGTGTCTCTCCAAAAAACCAAACCCAATGATGAGTACATTTCACCTCTTTGATTAACGAATTCGGTAAAGAGTTGAAGAGTCTCGTGAAGTTTTCTTAAGTATTGACCATATTTATAAGCTTACCCAAAATGTTTTTACCCAAAATCATCTAATTCGTGTCTTTAAACCTAAAATCATTTATTTCGTGTCCTTAAAATCATTCATCATGTGTCCAATCCATAAAAATGTCCAAACCAGATTATTTTAGTCCATAATCTCATTCCAAATATTTATTAGTTGAATGGGGCTTGAAAAGAGCTTTCCAACGATATATTATAAGCCCAAATTCGACTTAAAACAAATAAGTTATGGCCAAAATTCTAAACCGAGTCCAAACGAGCCATTCTGAATTTCGTGCCTCATAATTTTTATCCAAATATTAAATGGTTGGATAGCCCTTGAAATTATCTTTCCAATTATATATCATGATCCCAATTCCGAGTTATAACAAAAAAGATATGATTAAAAATACGAAACTCTATCCAAAACTGATACTGTTCCACTATTTCGATCATATCTCATTTATACAAAAGATATCAACCTGATTCAAATTGGGATGGAAAGTAGACTTCCAAATCTTTTCAACGATATATTATTTATCTAATTCCGATTTTTGAATCAATAGTTATGATCAAAATCAAAACTACAAAACTACAGGACCATCGCACCACGACAGCACCAATGTGTCGTGATGGACCCTGGCGCGCCACGATACTTCTATCGCCTCGCGATAAAAGAAGTTCCATTCTGTTCCAAATTCTGATCTTTTCTGATTGTTTTGACTCTCTTTTTTCGTTATAAATAGAGGTTGTTTTACCCCTTTTCAGATCATGAACAATAACCATCAATTACCTAGCCACAATTATCATCATCATCATTAAAAACACCTATATTCTTAGCCTTAGCCTATACACATCCTTGATACACTACAAATCAGTCACAATACCACTTCGCGAGATTCGAATACTTCAAACCATACTCGACGTTGCCTTCAAGATCGACATGAAAGGTTGATAGTTTTGAGGGTTTGGTCCCAAATTTATACTGCAATTCATATTTGATTTATTTACTTTATTGATTTAACTTTCTTGAAGTTTACTAACGTGTGTATTGTTTTAATAACAAGCAGGTTGAGGCATCAAAGTGAGTAATTCAATCACTCTTAATTATTCTTTTGATTTTGGAATAGAAATCATGTTTACAATATATATTAATTCCTAGTATCATGTTTAGGATGCTTATTATGATTTCTAGCATCTTGTTTAGAGTAATGCTTTGATTTGATTATTAGTGACATGCTAAGATTTGTTATTAATCCGTTTAGTATCATACCTAGGATCTTACTAACGATGTTTTCATAATGTTCTTATGATGATAGTTATGTTAATCATATATTGCTTGATTATTCATGATTTATTGTATTGCTTGATCACGCCCCTCATTGCAGGTTTAAAGGGAATTTGTACTCGAAATCACGTCTAATAAGATAATTTATAATTTAATTTAGGCATATAACCTTAGTTCAAGTGCTCACCAATAATAGATTTGATTGAGCATTAATAGTCAACCAATGTAGATTAAATAGGTTTAGG